GCACACTTTCATGGATGAACAGCAGAACTCCCCCGCTCATCCTTGGTTGCACTCGATCCGAACGGAACGACGCATACCCCCGGAGAGAGATTTCAGTGTCGAGGACGTCTGAGGCGGCCAGGGTGATTACCACCGAGGAATGCTTCATGACAAGCGCATCCAACCCGTCTCGTTTGTTCAGGATACTGCGTACATTACCGGATAATGCACGCACGGCTGAGCCTGTCGGTGACAACCGTCGGTGCGTCCCTTCAAATTAAAGCGGGGGGACTCTGCCAGGTATTGATACAGGACTCAATCGGAAATGTGGGCGACTCCTCTGGACCCTAAAATCTCGGATGAAGAGATCCTCTTCATCATTGGCTCGACGCTCGTGGAGCTCGCTTCAGCTTATATCGCTCGGCCTTGTCAAGGTCACGTACTAGCCTGAAGGGTTCTCTTTCAGGCGAAAGGTGAGCTGAGACACTAACCTGGTTTCCTCCACAGACCCGAGGACGACCTGCAGGGGACGGGGACCGCCGCCCTCCCGTTTGGTTCCCAGCCTGAAAGCAGCTTTCACCCGTATCGTTTGGGCTTGTTTCCTCACCTCGGACGGAAAGCTTGGCCAGGGCTCCTCGAAGCAAAAATATGTCTGAGTTGAGCCGGGCTTGCGCTCTGGGTTCTGTGGACCTAGACATGTTGACAGCTAAGAAACACTGCTGCTTGGAAAAGCGCACTCGTCGTGGGTCTCCTATGACCGCTGGTCGGGTTACTGGGCTGGTGCCGGAAGCCACTCGAGATCCTAGCGGAATCACGGTGCGTTTGCTGCCGCCTGTTTCAACACCGCTGGAGACGTGCTTGACAGCGGCGGCTTGGGTGTGTGGTCTGGTATTGGACGGTGAAGCTGGAGGAACCGACGGTAGCGGAATCAGCGCAGGGGCTGTAGGCACTGGGGATATAGGTTCGACTTTTCACTACGTGGTTCTCATCGGAGGTCAGTTGCTCGTTAGCGATTTCACGCTTGCGTCTGCGTCTCCTCTGTTCACCGGCAGTGGCAGCTGATACCGCCTCCACTGGGGAGGACTGCATCGTACAGTCCGCCAGTTCACTTGAATTTGGCAGAGGCAGCACTGCTTCGCTGACACTCATTGTGTGGAATTTCGGAAGACAGTTGTCACAAACAAACTTTAGATTGTGTGGATCACACAACTACAGCGCTATAGACATGTCCGGTTAGATGCCAGTACGTGCAACATGTAGCCAACGCTGACACAAATCACGTAATGTGGCCTTCGCGCCTGGACCAACGGTGTTTTTGCATTTTGGGCAGGAAGAGTTTTCTTGGTGTCCCTGTTACACATTATTTCCACAGAAGGAAGTAAACAAAACACAGGAATATAGCTACCACGACGGCGGACACAAAAGAAAACAAAAACTCAACTGTTCTCCTTGTTCGAATTCTCGAATGAACATTCAGGCAAGATATTCCATAAAATGCCATCAGTCATCGTCTCCGAAATTCCATTTAAAGGTATTAAACTGATTCAGGAAAGAATGCCTCTTTAGAGAGAAGTGAATCAACACACCAGAGCCGTAAACTCCAGGATAATCACAAACAGTAATCTGTCTAAAAATTCACTCGCGACCTTAACTAATGTGAACCAAACCGCCGTCTGTCCCCATCAAACTACTCATGCTTCATGTCTAGCACTCTCTCTGCCAACTTTTCCCGTGACGACCGATGCACAGAGTCCTGTTCATCCTAGTTGACTACAACGTTCTATCCATTCGGTTGATCTCGATAACTCATCCAATTCCTCATCAGTGCAACCTCCGCCTATGCGTACCAATATATCCTCTCTATTGGCAACCTCAACCACACAACCTCGAGGCCCCTAAACTTCACCTAGTCTGAGCCTGGTTGCCGGTCTATCCACGAAACCAGTAACCCGCACTCCTGGTGAACTGACTGCTTTACATCCTAAAGATGCTCTCATGGCGTCTCCCTCCACGCTCACATTCTTCCTAGTCGTCCGATGCTGTAACGCCACTTAAATATATCTGCAAACAACCCAACCTATCGACTAAGTCCCCCCGTAGGTAGCTGTGGTTCAGTCGACCATACATGTAGTATGCAGTTCAAGTGTGGAATCTATGACTGCAACGCGATCAGAAG